GCGCATGTACCCACTGAAGTACGCTCTACATATGCATATCTCCACTGAACCGAAAAATAACCTCTTAAAGACCTAATAGGCTGCCATTAGCCTGTCACTCTCAACTTGAAATGAAGTCTGTGATCTTCCTAAACACCATGTTGTTATCCTTAACATTCAAAAATTGCTGCAATGAATTTAACAATTTGCACTTTGCCTGTGACTCACTGCTACTCTATCCTTCCTCAACCCCTGTTATGCTCTTTTTCTCTTCCTCCCAGGACCCTGTGGTGGTTCTGTGCCTTACCATACAGTCTTCTCATCTTCATTTATGATGAGGTCCGTAAATTAATTCTGAGGAGGAGCCCTGGAGGTAAGCAGTTATTAAGATTAAAAGGTTTCAACCTTCTTTGTCTTGTTAATAAGCTGAAAGAAGGGTTAGTGAAGTGATGGTATAGTGATTGACACCCCTATGTTAGGAACCACATGTGCCATTTTCCATCAAGACCTTTTCTCCTGTCCTCTACCTCTCTCAGCCCTCATACTGTCCTTGTAAAAAAAAAAATACGCATCCTAAAAGAGTAGGCTGTCCATTCCTTTAAGGACACACTGATTGACAAAGTCACGACAGGTCGGCTGTGCTGATCTGACCTGAAGGTGAGATGAAGGAGAAGCTCCAGTTCATTGTCAGTGCAAATGAGCACAAAAAAATATATTGTAAAAACAACTTTCAACAGTTTTGAACTGATATCAAAAAGGAAAATACAGGTACCAAATTTACAAAACAATGTTGGTAGCAATTATAGATGATTACTGATGACAAAGGATGTAAGCTTTAGTTTTGTGTAATTTTGAAAATGTGGGTTTGAAAACGGGGTGTTTCAACATTGGTGCCAGCTGTCATATTGAAAAATGTCATTTTTGTTTTTGGGATAAAGTACATGATGCAAATTTTGCAGAATTCAATGGGGTTATTGTGATTTTTGCATGTATTATAAATAAATTATAAAGCAGGAACTGTAATCGTTTTCATTTAAAAGTTATTATCAAGCTAGCTTTAAACACAAAAGAGACTTAAGAGGCCTAACCCGTAGCAATGCAGCTGAAAACAGACAGCCAGCAAGCCACTCAATGCTGAACAATTTTCCAGCTTTCAAAGCTGCAGCCTTTGCAACACTTGGCTGATTACTGTTTGTCTTCTAGGTTTGATTTCTGACAAAGAAGCACGTAAATGCACTGCTGTCTGGCACTTTGCTTTGGAATTCCATTTGATAAATGGAGCATAAAATGGTGACAATCAGACATCTACATCACCACAAAAATCTAATCGGATTTGATTCTTGAGCCAAGGGCTGCATCTGCACTAGATTTCATCCAAAGTCCTTTATAACTTTTTAATATATTTTGCTATAAATGGACAGGGGTGGAAACACTTCTAATTTTGTTTATGGAGACTCTGAGGACATTTTATCATACATTATTGCAAAAGCATTCAATGATTCTTCTTTTGGCCTGAAGGTAAAAATCTCTATCAGCATGTGAAATGTCCAACACGTGGGCAGCAATCTTTATAGACTCTGCCAACTCAGTGAACATATGTTAAACTTGCTCCAGGAAACAGATTATACCTGTCCAACACCAACAGAAACAGTAGCGAATGATGAGAAAGGAAATTAAAACAAGCTGATGAAGACTCTCGAGATATGCCCCAAAGATCACACGCGTGATATGGACACACTACAATAGCTCAAAATGCGTTCACTGCCATGGTGTTTCAGCTGAGAGGGGCAAGACATGGGGAGACAAATACAATTTATCGTGACAGTTAATCATTTCTGTTAATCTGTGTGTCACGGGCTGCTGATCAGAGTCTTAGAGTTATAAGGGGATTCATTTGGAAATGTACAGAGACAAAGGCAACGGGATGAATACAAATAGAGTGATACAAAAGGATATTATGAAAACTGCCCGCCTGTCATTTTGGTCTCTGACACTTTCCCTCTTTCTCTTTCTGTCTCTCTCGTCCTCTCTTCCAGGTTGGGTGGAGCAGGAGACATATTATTAACATTCAGAAATTGTCGGTTTGAATTTCGTATGTGTGTGTGGGTGTGTGTGTGTGTGTGTGTGTGCACCTGTGAGGGCAGAACTGTGTGTGTGTGTGTGTGTCTGTCTATCTGTTGTAATATTGCATGGATCAGTTCACAAATCTGATTATCATAAAAACTGACTGCTGAAAATAAGCTTTTGATTGTGCTTTGAGTTTTTCCTTTTTGTTTTCTCAGAAAACATTTCCAGCAGAACAATGGTAATGTACACCTATGTGCCTTACATAAACTGTTACCAAAGTGATGTATTGTGGCCAATTTGGCTTCAGAGGAATACCAAATGTCTTTCATCATTCGAATTGTACCAAATAAAAATGTATTCATAAAAATATTCCTGGTCATTCTTTTTAATTGTTATTCATTGATTTTGTGGTTTTTAAATTTAATTTAAATTGATGGTTAAACCTTAAACTTGTCAATTTTAATATGTAGAGCACCACATGTACCAATAATTGTAAAGTTTGCCAAACCACATCTTATTTACTGCTAATTACTCTCACTAAATTTAACATTTTCGAACACATCATAACCTAACCTGGTTCTGTATGTAAGTATATCAGTTAATGCTGTATAGGCCATACTAAGGGCAAAGGGTATATTAGCTAATTGCCTATAATATATAACTTATCAACGGCAGTGTATATGCCAGCGAATAAGTAGAATAAGAAAGATTTTGCAGTACATGATTACCTAAGATATGAGAGGTAATTTATAAACTATGTTGTGGTTAGTTTGTTCACCAGAGTTAAATGTACTGTTCGTTATGTTGCCACAATAATTCTTCAACAGCCTCAAAAAAATGTTTTGCGTTTGCATTAAAGTAATAAATAATTCAGTATATATTGTTTTCAGATTTTTAAACTCTGAAATATCAATATCAGCCTCAAAAATCAGTCAGGCTCTGTCTATGTTGATCTTTTCATGATCTTGTCATCCATTATGTATGTCCTCATGTCTTCTATTCACTGGGCACTCGTTACCTTACTCTCAAAATATATTCAAGAAAAAATCGACAGGCAGCAAAGCATTTCCTCCCAAGTTTCACAGCTCTGGAAATGGATCTTTGTGGAAACTATTTGTACAGAAATCTTTAAATTAGAAAGTCCAAGGTGTTTAAAATATTAGTTAGAAGGGGTTTGCGCTCTCCTATAACCAACTTAAACCTTGTCAACTTTGAGTCCTACATGGTCTCTTCCAATACTTTATGCAACATTAATATAGGAACAGGACATTGGAAACCCAGTCTAGGGATGCCTCTGGGCATCATTAACCTGACTACCTGTTTGCTGTCTGTATGAGTGTGTATGTAGATGTCTGATTATGCTCTTTTCAATACTTTTCAATAACTGTTGTATGCATTTATCTGCCCTGCCATTAATATGTGAGCTGCTGCATGGTTTTCTATGTTTGTGAGATATGTATTTAATTGTCATATTGAACATTTAATTGTTGTGTGGGGGGTACGGGATACCAAAATTGTGGCTCCATCTTTGAGTTGTTTTTTTTTTCCCTCATTAAGACCTTTCTCTTGTCTTCTCATTTTGTCATATCCTTGTCTGTTCCTTGTAATTAATTTTGTCGTACCCTACATTACGTCATGTCATCTCCCAATTCCTTGATATCTATTTATGGGGGTCCATTTCAACTACCGATCATTCACATAAATCAATCACATATTGCAAAGTAACGAAGAAAATCCTCACATCAACCAGAGAATGTTTGGCACTGCTGCTGTACTTTAATGATTAATCATCAAAATAGTTGCTAAACAACTAATTGATTTATCAATTAACCCAATCATTTGAGCTCTACACTTAATGAATGCAACAAATAAAAATACTAGTAATACTAGTAGTTTAACATTTTACTTAGACATTAATTTTATGCAAACATCTGCATTATTTACTTATTTGTAAGATTTATGTATTTATTTTATGTATTTATTGCTATCTATTGCTACGACAGAGTATTAGGGCCATACTAAGATTACTTAGGATTACTATATATTTTTTTTAATTACAAGAATAAAGTCATAATATTACGAGAATAAAGTCATAATATTAGGTCTACGAGAATAAAGTCATAATATTA